CCCCAAAACCCCAAAACCCCAAAACCCCAAAACCCCAAAACCCCAAAGTTGGTATTTTTAATAGAAATATATTATACATATTCATGAAGCCGAACGAGAAGCAACCAAGTTTACCTTTGCAGACTAAGAACGAGCCTTTGCCTATATCTGATCCACAAGTAAGTCTTACTGAAGGATTTCTCTGGAAATTTTACGAAGGACAATTGAGTTTTGAAGAATACCTCTAAATTCTTGTGTTTTACTTCTTTGATTTTTCAGGAAAAATGCATAAATTATTTAGTGAATTCTATCAGAAGGAACCGATCCCCATATTTTAAGAGCTGAAGAACCCCTTGTTATTCACCATAATGATAATAATCAAGGATCTTCCTAACCAATCCCTGCCTAATGTGAGGATTTTCGTAATCATTTAGAGTCATATGGAGAGCTCCCAAGAAGTCCGAAATTCTTCTCTTTTTGAAAGCAGTGTAAGAAATTTGCTATAAGAAATTCTTCTTCAAGTTATACCAGATTATGATTTCTCTCCAAAGAGCATAAAATTCTATGAGAATTATTAATCTTCCTTAATCAAGGATACTTTGGCATATGAATGTTTTAATTTACTTCAATATGTAGCCTACAACATGCTTCTTTACCTTTCTGATCTAAAATCCAGCCTGATTATAATTCGAAGAATCCAAATAATATTTCTGTTTCATTATCACATTTTTTATTTTGTTAAAACTCCTGTTTCAAGATTCATACAAATAATTTTATTTGGATGCACTCTTTTGGGAAAGAATATTTTGGTTTAAACTTTGAAGTTGCTTTTGAATTTAGTCTGAAGTTCTTGCGTCTGTTACTAAAAATTAGTTTGGCCAGAAGTTTTAGAAAATCTCTGTTGCGAAATTTTCTGAGATTTTGTAGTCGTAAGATAGAAAGAAAATATATTAGAGTAAACTTTAAAGAAGAGAATGGGTTGAAATCGAAGGAAGGATATGTGATGAAGGGTTTCAGAGCCATGGAGAATTTACATAGTTTGTTAATGAGTAGTGGGTGGTAGAATGTAGTAAAGATGGGTTAAGATTTTTGTAGTGCAAAGGATAGAGGGATATAGTGGTCGAAGGTTTAGTAATAAATAAATCAAGGTTTCTAGATGAAGAGAGTTCTGTTAAGATCTTTTCTTAGTTAGATTTAAAAAGAAACTACAGCTATTATCTCCCCTATAACACCTAATGATACTCTCTAACATCAATATTAACTCCATAATAAAAACATCTATACACCAAATTTTCCATCTCCACAACTAAGACCCTACACCAACATACCCTCAGATCACTCCCTCACCTCTAAACCCCCATTCCTCCCTCCACTTCCCCCTACCCCTCCTCCACCCCAACTCCTTTCCCCCAATCTCTAATCCCTCCTAACCCCCTTCTAAATCCACTACCCTAAGAAATCTCCAAGCTTAAAATAAATTTAAACGTAGTCAAAAGTACTCTACTGGTGACTTTTAGGAAATTTTAGAATTTTTAGGAACAGAAGTGGGGTTGGGAGACTTGGGGTAAAGGAATTTTGGGTGGATGAAGGGGTAGGGGTTGAGGGAAGAGTGGGATAGATGTGTTTGGGAGGGGGAAGGTTTTAGATTTAGGGGGATTTTGTGCTTGGGGAGTTTTGAAGAGATGAGGGAAATAAATGAGATTTGGAGTTAAATTGATTAGGTTTAGAAATTAAGGTGAATGTTTTTGTGGGATTTTATTATTTTGAATGACTCTCTTTGTGTCTAAGATTAATGTAGATTTTTCATGAAGACTGACTTTGTAATAAAATTCTGTATCAGATGATAAACGCTGCTTGTTGAGAATAGTCAAAATAAATCTAAAAGATAATCTAGTGCAGTTGGTAGCATCAATCATAACTAATGGTTTGTGATCATTGAATGAGTGCTGGAAAATTAGAAATTTTAGCAGAAGGAAGATGAAATAAGCTCCCAGTTCACACCAATTTTAGTATTTAGAACACTAAATTTTTTTGGCAGTATGAAGGGGTTATAAATTTTTAGTAAAATGGATATGTTTATAGTTTCTTGATATTGTGTCCTAAGTTTTCTTAAAAGCCATTACTTGAGTTTGCATTAAAAAACTTTTAATTTTTGAGAAGAAAAATAAAACTTGAAAAATCAGGATTGATTAGAGTCTTTAAGATATACCAAAGTATAAAAACTTAAACCATCAATAACCCCTCTCTTCTAATATCCCCCATAGAAACAAAGCGATGAATACCACGAATCAGACTCATACTCACCAGAATCCGAAGAATACCGTCTTAAGTACGTCTTTTCCCCTCTCAACACCCCAAAATCCCCCTAAATCTCCTCTGCCACCCCAAAGGGTCCCTCCTTTCCACCCACTACACTTTCCTCCATCCCATTCCCCACTGCACACTACTTCCACACAGAAGGAGAGGCCTAAGAACTTACCATCCCAAGGCCAAAGCCTAGTGAGAGCTGAGGGATCAAGGAATTGCAGCTGAGAGATTTGGGAATTTTGGTTGTAAAAATTAGAATTTTTGTAGTGGTTTGTGGATTTTTGGGCTTTCTTATGGTTATTCAGCCTGTTACTGCAGAAAGATCCAGGGAATAGATGTAGTGACAATAGTGTTCGAACTGTTCCGAAGAGAGGGGTTAGGTAGATTGATTGGATGATTTGTAGAAAACGGAGATCGAGGAAAAAGTGTAAATATATACCGAGAAGCATGTAAGTTCAGTTTTTGCACATTTCTAATATTGTTTATGAATAATTTCATATCTGAGTTTATTATAGAATACCTAATGAGGACTCTAAAAGCGAAAAATTTGAGCTGGAATCCAATAAATTAGACAATGATCATAACCTTCAAGGATATTGGGGGAGGAACTATCTTCAGGTTAACATGAAGTAAGATTATTTAATAACTTTAGTTACCTCGAACCAATAATGGAAATGAACAGTTTCGACGAACGAGGATCTGTGTCTTTAGTCTGATCCCATAACATGAAGTTTAAAAATGTTGAATACTCACATTGGGATCAAGGACAATGGAAAAGAGGTCAAAATCCTGCCATGAGTAAGCCAATATTTTAAGCGAATTTATTATTCGAAATTTTCGTTAAGGATTTGACCTCTACAATTATTTCAGTTTTTTACATTAATTAAAATATTCTGTTTAGACCCAAATCTTGTATTTAATTACAGAGATGCTGAGATTAACGAGCTGAAAGAACTAAAGAGCAATGAGCGTAATTTTTGTAGTTAACCTATAGCCCTCTTCAACAGGATTCCATACTTATTTTATAAAAATACAAGCAAGGCTTTAAAATATAGCAGAATGAAAGGAAGGAAATCCCTATCTTGAGGACCACATTGTAAAAATATTCGGAAAAATCCTTACTCAATGGTCAAGAAAATGCGAGTTCGTCGAAGATAATACTTGATTATTTATTTCAATATATAATGCCAAAGTAGGGGTTTTGGGGTTTTGGGGTTTTGGGGTTTTGGGG